ACTCAACAGCTCATTTTCCTGTTGTGGATTTGATGGAGGTGGGCTGCTCCTCTCAAGTTGCCTTCATGTGGCTGAGAACTACTAATTGCTGCAGTCCAGTCAACTGCCATACATTGCAATTATCAACAATCATTTACCTTCGTGTAGCATTACAATTATACTATTTATTTTTCTCTGTAATTAAATATTAACAATCATGCAATTATTTTTTATAGAAAAATAAATAGTATAATTGTAATGCTACACTACTGAAGATATTGTTCGTAAATCACATAACGCTATGTCTTATACAGACTAAGAGAATTAAAGCAGTTCATAGTATTCTAGGGATCGTAAAAGCTGTTTGCAAGAGCCAAGAATCCCTTTTAACAAAGTGGAAAGCTTAATTAGCATTGAAAAAGAAATGAATAATCGTTAATAAGGTCGAAAATTCAGTTAGAAACACAAACTTCATTTAAATAAAATGCCAAGAAGGAGTATTGTACTTTGTGATGAAATTTAGTTTAATTACTTTGTGATGAACAAATGGATAGCACTCCTGTTTATGATGTAATGCACTTCTGTTTTGCAAAATTGGACTGCATAAAAAAGCAATGAAGTCATGTGCCTATTTTTCTCTGGTTAGGGATCAATAAGGGCCTCGTGCTTTTTGTCTGGGACTAAAAACGTCCTCGTGCATTTTGACAGGGACCAAAATGGCCCTCGTGGTTTTGACAGGGACCAAAACGTCATCGTCTCGTATTCCACGGTGTCCCACATCCAAGCCGCGTCAGCAAACTAACGTGCCAACTGTGCACCGTTAGTTGGGCCGTTAGGTGGGAGTTAACGGAAGAATGAATGTGGCCTCTTTTTTGTTATTTTAGGGACCAATTTGTCTCTTTTTTATTGCTAGGGACTGAAAGGGGCTTCGTGGATATTGCCAGGGACTAAAAAGGGTATTTACTTATATATTTATTTAAATGTAACATATAGACGTTTGATTCACTATAAAAAAATTATTTTATTTTATTTTATTTAATTAAATTCATTAGATGATACACATTTAAATTTTGTGTTCTTAAATAAATTTATGTCAAATATTATTTTGTTTTATTTATTTATTTTATTTGATATTTTTATAATATCTTAAAAAATTTAAAAAATAAATAATTTAAGATTATTTTTATTTTTGAAAAACATTCTTAATTTAAACATATATTTTTAGATATATAAAAAAATTTAAGATGATTTTTAAAATAATTTCAAATATTTTAAATTTAATCATTAATAATTATTTTATAAAAAATTTATTTGATAATACATAATTATATAAAATAAAAGTTAGAAAATATAGAGAATTTTATATTTTTAAGACTCCAGGGTCAAAGTGATATATTTTTGTTACCACGATGGGTGTAAATGAAATTTTAAAATCTCAGGAGATTAAATGATAAATTTATTTAACCACAAAGGGTATGATTGATGATTTTGAAACCACAGGGGATTAAGTGATACATCATTAAGCCACAAGGGTTACTGAAAATGAAGTTTTATCTAAAAATAAATAGCGTATAAGTTCTTCAACCAAAAAAAAAAAAAAGAGTGCATAATTCCGTTGAATTTTATGTTGCCAACAAGAAAAATTTGTTTATTTTTCACGTTAAGAATCGTTATCAAATTTTAACGTTAATATTTATTGAAGGTTTAATCTTTCTCAAAGTGGGGAAATTTAGGTTAATTTGCTTTCTGCAAGATAAAAGATAATTTCGGTCTGATCTCCATATCATTAGTATTACGGTATGGAAGGATAAAAGAAGCAATGGCTAGCTAAAATATGTTTCAATGAAATATTATATATCGGAAATATTATAGCTGCTCATTATTTAGTTTAAATTAATTAATTAAACACGATAGAACGTCATGAAATAATGAAAAACAAGGCATTCTTGTAGTGCTTGTACTTGTTCTTCTTGTTCATGTTATACAGTAACTCATCTCCGCTGATAATGTAGTGGGTGGTATATTGCTGTTAGAGTCAAACACTTCTGCTGGCAGACCAGGCGTGAAGGAAGAAAGAGCAATCCACTATAGAAGCAGAACGAGATGGATGGGTCCCGCAATCTCCTATATTTGCATGTGATCATCCACTATATATAATATGATACTTTCAATTTCATGTTTGGGAAGCAGCTTCTCCAATCGTTAATGTTAGTGATGGTTGGGGTAAGGTAAGGGTAAGTGCCTTCAAATTAAAGCAACAACCATTGATGCAACACTTGAAACCTCAGCGGCAAGAAGATTTTCGGTAGTTTAAAACCACCAACCGTCCCTTTGAAAAATTTGAGATATAAATGAAAAAAAAAAAAAAAAAAAAGGAGTCCTGAACCTATGATGCACGGACATGGACACAGGACACGGAACACGACACGGCATGCCGACACGTAAATTAGAAAAAATGTCATATTTGAATACGTTGGGACACGTTTTGATATTAAATAAAAAATTTAATATATATAATATAATTTATATTTAATACATATAAGAGTCCGTAATAATTCATATAACCAATCAAATATTTAAATTTCATAACATAAATATAAATATAAATAAATTTTCGTACTTTGTTAATTTTTCATGTCAAATTTCGTAACAGAAAAAAATTAATTTATAAATTATTTCTTTTATATTTAGTTAACAAAATAAAATAAAAATTATTTAAAAAAAAAAAAAAAACTTGTCCGAGCGTTGACTGGGTGTCCAAAAAAATTGACCGCGTGTCTAAAAAACATGTCGAAACGTGTCGAAGAATTGACTACGTATTTTCAAATATTGACCGCGTGTCAGACACATGTCGAAACGTGTCCGTATCGGATACGTGACCGACACCCAATTTTTTTTATCACAGAGCGTGTCCGTGCTTTGTAGTCCTGAACCACTAAATTTTTTTTCCACAGCGGCATACACGGCCTTGTGCATCCTTTCCCTTCATTTGTCATGTTCGCTCACTTCCATCAAATTGGCACGCACTCACATAAACAGGCCTTCCTCTTATTTGATTAATAATGTTTACACGTGTAAATGTTCAGTGATCATCTTGACTAGTACAAAAGCATAATTTTATGTATTTTTTTTTAAGTAAGCTTATGTATGTGCGTTTTATCTGTTCCTCTTTATGCTGTATTCATAATCGTCATTTTACTGTATGTCCATAGTTAACAATTTCAACAGAAAATAAAATTTTGATGATGCTCCTTACTATTTAAGAAAGAGCAATTCGTTAATGCTTGGCTGGAAGCCACCTATTTAATTGCCAAAATCATACTATAATTTCAAATGGATTTGTACAAGTGGCCACAAATATCAGCGCTTTTTCCTTTTTTTAATGCTAGAACTTAAGACCCAAATAAAACAAACCAAACGAAAAGTATCAGAAAACATAAGCTACAGTGCAGTGAGCGAGCTAAAAGGATAAAACACTTCATAGGAAAAGAGGAGTTTCTAGAGCAATTATTATTATTATTTTTTATGTTATCCCGGTTCATTGATTACTGACTAAGTTTTATTACAAATGTGTTTCCATGAACTCAAAATTGAGATCACTAATTAATTAAGTTAAAATAATTCCTTACCAGTTGATATCCACAAATTTGATGGTCTAGAGCAATTATTTTAGTTTTCACATTATTTTCGTTTTATCATTCTTATGCCACTTCTTTTTATAATAGAATAAGAAAATACATATTTTAGCGAACTTTTTCTCTACCTTTTTTTTTTCTCAATTAAGCAAAGTCTAAAAATAGTGTATAATATTAATGCGCAAATAACAAAGTCTTTACATAGTCCCATACACAAAAAATACAATATCGAAAATATTGTCAGAACTGAAAGAACTGTCAAACGATATCAAGAGCTTCTCCTGCCGGTCTCTAACAAGGGCAGTTTCCCGTGCATACCTCCATTTCATTTATTTCATTCACCTTATAATAACCAACTGAATCATACCAGTTATCAAGCACATACCTCACCTTATGTTCCAAGTATGCCACATTAACGAATGATATCGTAAAAAAAAAATGATCTCGATCCTAGTTAAATCAACATATGTCTGGTGCGGTAATCACAATTAACAAACAAAATAGAGTGCATTTCTTCCGGATACTCTAGATTCAATTTAAATTCTGTTCCTTGGAGCTACTAGTTCGGAGTCATTCATACAATCAGACTCCCTCTTGTCTTAATTGGATGAATTATTGTTGTCAAAAACTAGTGTAAAAACAGTAAAAAAAAATGTAACTAAAAATGCTTCTTAGTAAAAAGGGATAAAAACGTCGTATAGAAATGCAAGTTTTTAAATTTTAACTTAAATACAATTTAAAAAAAGTAAATCCTTTTTCCACTTTTTAAAATTCAATTTTTTCTTTTTATGTTTTCGAACTTATGTCTTATATAATTATATGACTTATATCTTTTAAATATGAAGTTATTAATTGAATTTTGAGTCGTGACTTGTGTAATTTGTTTTTGTACATGCACACCCACACATACACACACAAATAAATATATAAAGCTTAAAATATACACAAAGCCAAGTAGTGCAGAAGGATAAATACAGAACTTATAGCAAGTTGGTAATATAACATGCTGATATATGACAAATTTTTAGCCACACTGGCCACTGGTGTTATATATATAAGTGGGAACAACATAGATGAATGACTCAAAACATCCATTAAAAAAGAAATGACCTGATAAATGCTTTATCAGATAGAGAAGATTAGGTTTATAACAAACTATTGCCTAGCACAATGAGAATAAGATATGTAGCTATAATGGTTTACAGCAAGTAGCACACTAGTGGGTTTAATGGTTGAACCACCTAATTCTGCATGTGCTTGGGCCAATCTTTTCATAATTAAGACGCGCTTTAGGACCCCTCCAATTTTGTAGTGGGCCATTACCATTCCTATATATACCCGAGCTTGAATTCCAAAACTTCATTGTGGGATTTCAACACTTTTCAAATGGCAACTTCTAATGTTCTCAATGTTGTTTTCTTTGTGCTATTGTGTTTGGGTGTTTGTTCTGCCGCCAGGACACTCCTCACTCTAGAGGGAGGTGTCGGCTTTGGTTTAGACCATGGCATTGGTGGTGTCATCCACGGTGCTACGACTGTTGCAGGAGGTTCCGGTGGCGGCGGAGGTGGAGGTTCTGGAGGCGGGGGAGAGCATGGTGTTGGTGGCTATGGAGGAGGAGCTGGCGGAGGTGAAGGTGCCGGTGCAGGATATGGGGCTGCCGGTGGTGGCCAAGGCGGTGGTGGAGGAAGTGGTGGCGGCGGTGGAGGTGGAGCTGAAGGTGGTGGATATGGAGGAGGAGCTGGTAAAGGAGCTGGTGGAGGCTATGGTGAAGGTGGAGCTAAAGGAGGTGGTTATGCTGGTGGTGGTGGAGGTGGCAGTGGAGGAGGAGGAGGTGGTGGTGCAGGGGGTGCTGGCGGTGGTTATGGAGGTGGGGAAGGGAGTGGAGCAGGCGGTGGATACGGTGGAGCAAGTGGTGGAGGATACGGAGGTGGAGGTGGGAGTGGTGGGGGAGGCGGAGGCGGTGCTGGTGGAGCACATGGAGGCGGAAATGGGAGCGGTGAAGGAGCTGGTGGAGGTTATGGTGGTGGAGCAGCTGGTGGTGCCGGAGGCGGTGGTGGCTCTGGTGCTGGAGGCGGTGGCGGCGGTGGTGCTGGGGGCGCACATGGGGGTGGATATGGAGCTGGTGGTGGAAGTGGCGAAGGCGGTGGCCACGGTGGATACTACCCATGAAATTAATTACATGGAAATTCTCGTGTGGAGAAAGAAAATGTAGCTCCTTGTAACCATAGTTAATAACAACAATAACAATATAATATGGATACAAGGATGCTTATAAACTAAATATGTATTGTGTTTTAATTTTTATGTTTTACGTGAATGCCAAATGGAAGCTAAGCAAGACTTCTTAAATCGATATATTTATACATTTTTAGTAATATATATTTCTAAATATTCGTGATTCCAAATTCCCAATCCCTTCCATTTTCAGAACACGCGGGAAATCAGGTTAAAGAAGTTACGATGGAAAATATTCTAGTTGCTATTTTTTCTAAAAAAATGACTGAAATATCATTATTATAAGATTAACTTTGCGAATATTCAATTGATTTGATACATATGGAATAAAATTATTTATTGATTAGTCGGCTAATTCAATAAAGCCAAACATGATTACAAATGCAATAAAATTCTCTTTACTAAATTTTTAACATAGTTACAAATTAACTTCTCCACGGGTTATTATTTTATCAAATGTTAGCAATAACATTATTAAAGAATTTATCACAATAATAATGATCTGAAAAGTTATTCTTTTTTAATAATGTAAATCATATGATAATTATTACATAATTATGCATGGGAATAAAAAATTATGGCTAAATTGTTCACCCACTCTTTTTTTTTTTTGGTAATATATTCACCCACTCTTTAATTTCTTCACTTAAGTGTTTAAAGCTTAATCAAATAGGTACAAATAGTTTTTAGAATTTTGCACTTTATACATAAACACCAATAGTTTAAGCAAACTGCAAAATATCTGTCAAGTTTTCAAAAGTTTGAAATATAAATAAGATTCACGTGCCTATATTTTCATATATTTTGGAAGTATATATACATTAATCTTAATATACGTCAACGGAATATAAATTAAATTTGGATTAAAGCAAAATTTAATAATATCATCTTCATGAAGGGAACTTCAAGTCCAACTGTATTGTGTAAGATTGATTTTGAGTTATGCCGTTGTCATCTTTTTATACATACAAGACATGCTTATTTTATTAAATTAAATAACTTATTGGAGATATTGAATTTTGTCCATCCAAATTTTGGATTCCAAGTTATTATGAAGGTTGTCCGAGTCTAAAAAATTTCATGCAATCTGTACGATTTTATTTAACTAAATATTTGAGGTCGGTTATACTTTTTAAGAATAAAAAAATGTTTAAGAAGGAATCTTTTGACTCTAATGTAAGATTAAAAAATCTTAATTTCTATCAAAATCGTTAATTTTCGTCCATCTAACGGTCATAATGTATTTGAAATTAATAATTAATTAATTGATATAACTCAATAAACTATAATTGTTAAATGGATGAAAATGAACGGCTAGAATGAGAAGTAAGATTTCTTAATGTTACAAAAGAGTCAAAATATCCTTCTTCAAGTTTAAATATTAATTTCCGTTCTCAATTTTTAAGTATCTTTTTATAAATCAATTCTAAATTAAATTCTAAAAATAAGGAAAGTTAAAAAAAAAAAAACACACAAGTAATAGAAATAAAGATAACTGATTATAATATCTGATCATTTAAAATTCAAAATACGTATCTTATACCTAAAATCAAGTCAAATTTAAAGATAATTGATTATAACAAATGTATTATCAGGTAATTTTAAATTCAAAATACGTCACAAACCTTAAAACTTCAAATCAAGCTAAATTTAAAGATAATTGATTCTAATCAAACTATTATATGATAATTCAAAATTTAAAATATGTCCCAAATCTTAAACATCAAATCAAGCTAAATTTATTGTTTTTCAATTTTTTCCGAACAAATTACAAATTACAATCATACTTTATTTGAACTGAAATTTGGTTATAATTTTTTAGATTTCAACTTGCTGCTTTTTTGAACATTTGAGGAAAAAATTGGTCGAATCACTTGTAACGGGTCAATTTTAAGTGTATCATATACTATACTTATTAATAGAATTATCAGTGTTTTCAAAAGGTTAATGCTAATTTATCTACCTATTCCTTACCAGGTAAAGAATATTATAAAGAATATAGTTGTTAGTTTTGTTTTTGTTTTTTTTAATAAAATATAGTTGTTAGTTACTGCATGCAAAACAACTCAAAATATTAGACATGATTAATCAACAAATTACATGCTTAAATACTATTTAATGTTGGACCTGGATACTCTCATGTGAAAATTCATATGACCATGTCATGTGGAAAATCATAACCATACAAGGGTGGATCGATGGTAATAAAAGAGGAGAGAAAAAAAATATTAAAATAGGTAGTTACGAAATCATAACCGTTGATTTACTTTTGTATAGTTGTGATCTTTTCACATGACCATATCATATTTTTTTTTTCACATGAGAGGATCCATTTCCATTAAAAAACATTGTCAGCAGTTAGCATTGCAAGGATACATATGTTTCAAATTTCTCATTTTCCATCTCTACCTTTTGCCAAAAAAAAAATGCATATGTATAAAAAAATATGACTCCGTTAAACGAAATTATTTAACCCAAAATTTCATTATGAGTTTTTTTTTATGTTTATGTGAAATTACTTGAATTTGAAATAAAATAAAATAATCTAATCTTGATCCTTTAAATTTGAATTAGTATTATGATTAAATTTCATGTTTGGGATTTTTTACAATGATGTTGTTGATTAGGAACTTAAGAATGTCCAAACAAATATAAACACGATTTGGAGGTTGTGTCGCAGCTAACCACTTAGGTAGTGTTTGGTTTAGGGGAAATTTTTTTTTACTAGGAAAATGTGATTGATAGGGAAATGGAAAGAAAGTAAGTTTGGTAGGAAAGTTTAAAAAAAGTTGTTTGGTACCGCAAAATATTGATGGGAAAATTGAGTTAAAAATCCTAATGTATGTTTGGTTGAAAATAAAAAATAGATGGGAAAAAAAGTTAAAATTACAAAAGTAACATTTTTTATAAAATTTTAAAATATTAAAGTGTGAAGCAGAGTACTCCTCAAAACCAAACCCACTAGTGGTATTGTATTGTATGATGTTCACTCCCCCTCATCCCTTCTCTCTCTATCTGTGTTTTTCTCTCTGCAAAATTTCCCAAATTTCTCCTCTATACTAATTCTTCCTTGCTCCTAAAACACGCACATTCATCATCAGCAATGCATGATCTTCCGTACGAATGCAATTTCAATATTTGATTTGAGTAATTTTTTTCAGCAGCTGAATTAGAAATGCTTGAAACAATGGAAAGTTCCGTCAATGGTGGCTTCTCCCAGTTGCAGAGCTACGGAAGAGGAGCTCTATGTGCTCCCTCAACATACATAGCAGTTGGTTAAAAGGAGGGGTAAATTTGTCACATTTTTCATCCCTTTTCAATTTGTCCAGTATTCTCACAATAATACCATCATCTGAGAGGGCTTCTAAAACAGTGAAAAACTAGTTTTTTACATGCATATAGGGATAGCTGGGGAAGCAAGTTTGATGGAGAAATTTCAGGATATCCCTCAACCAAACATGGAGAAATGAGATACCCACATACACTTTGCTGGGATAGTGAAGAGAAATCTCGAACCAAACACGACCTTACAGGAATATCAGAAGAATGGCAACCAGAGGCCTCTATGGTCTATGCTGATACTAACAAATGCTTAAGCTTGAGCAAAGTTGCACGACCCAACTTATTTTCTTTTTTTATTAATATATTTTAGTGACTTTCTCTGGGGATCCTTGACAAGATTTTAGAAATAGAGGGGCAGAGTTTCTTAAGAGGGTTACTAGGGAGAGAAGCAAGCGGTTTAAGAAGATCAAGGAAGACGATTGAAGATCAAGGCTCAACAATAACCAATATAGTTTCCCAATTATGACCTTTTCTCTTGTTTTCTTGAAAAAAATTATTTTCTCTAGTTTGTGTGATTCTGACTGAGATGAGGTTGTAGTCGTAACTTTTGGATTCCATTTTAGCTTGTTGTGTAGTTTAGATTGATTATAGTTCTTCTTGCTTTTTGTCAAAGAAACAATTTTATTTTATCTATCTCTACTCTTAATGTTTGCATTTATTTGGCAACCGAGTTTTTAATGTGAGAACCCTAAGGAACTAGTCAAGGAAATTACATGTTTTTACTAGATTTGGATGGTACATTTTGTTTTGCATTTATTTGTGTGGGTGAAATGACGCGTTTGTCGAATAGAAGCATATATCTTTGTCATGCATAATTATTGTTGGAGACCTAATTTTAATTAAAACAATTCACATAGAAATAATGTTTTGGGAAAACGTGTTTGTATAACCTAAACATAGGCTTAAAAGTAAATAAATGTATTGGCTGTAAAACCATATCATTGGTTTGTGAAGAAGTGTTAAATGCATTCAAATGAAGTAGCAAGAGATAAATAGACCCCAGGCTTCAATTTCATAGCTTTTTTTTTATCTTTTATTTGTTTATTTGTTTTGATTTCTTTCTTGAATTGGTTTCTCAATTATTTAGTTACTTAGTTGGATAAAGATTAAGGTGTGGTATGTTAATACTTTAACACAAAATTTGAATAATCTTGATGAAATGATATTCTTAAGTCATCACCTTTTTTATTTGTGACGTGTACACTTAGAGTTATCAATGGTAAATCATATCATCAGAAATTTAATATTCAAACTTGTTACTTGCTTTATAAAATCTTCTAATTCCTAATATATCTAGCGGTAAATTCTTGAAACTGAGACAGAATCGGTTGTTAAATCTAGCATAACACAAATTATGCTCGTACTCAATTAAATATCCTTACCACATGCATATTGTATCAGGAAGTCCATGAGGAATATCGATATGAGAAGCATTAATGTGACAAGTGAACATCAATTTTATTAGTGCATAAGCATGTAAGAACACTTGGTAGATGAAATAAACTAATTAGCTCAATGCAACAATTTACATGTTTTATTAGAAAACTCATCATAGGGTGAAAGACTTGGAGTTTATCACCAAAAGGAAAATAAGAAAAGAAAGAATGCAATCAATGTTTAGCGCAAAGTAGTAAGGGGCGGTGGGGTGCAGGGAATAAAGACTTCATAAGTCAGGTTTGCGTGGGAAAGGAATAAACTATGTGTATGAGAGGTATTCGTATTGTATGTTTAATTTGGATATGGTAATGTGGAGGACAGCAGAAGCACACTATGTGTATGAGAGTGAGTGTGAGTGAGGCTTAATTCCTCTGTATGTATGTATCTTTGCTTATTGTGGTGGGGACATCCAACTTCCCTAGCCATGTGCCTCAACCACTCTTTGCTCTCAACGCGCATTCCCAATCCCTATATATAGCCTCCAACTTCTCCACCACAAAACCAAACCAAGCTACTTTAATTTGTCAGATACATAATTCATCTTCAATTCTCAATACAATGGGTATGCACAGAGTTCCCTGTGTTGTTCTCTTACTCCTATTGGCTTTAGGAATATGTTCTGCCAGAAGGGGGCTACTCACTCTTGATGGTGGTTATGGCGGCGGCGGAGGTGGCGGCTCAGGTGGCGGTGGTGGATATGGAGCTGCTGGAGACCATGGAGTTGTTGGCTATGGAGGTGGTAGTGGTGGGGGACAAGGTGGTGGAGTAGGATATGGTGGCGGTGTTGGCCATGGTGGTGGTGGAGGAGGAGGAGCTGGATACGGAGCTGGGGGTGACCATGGAGCTGGATATGGCGGTGGTGGTGGAAATGGTGGTGGTGCCGGTTATGGTATTGGGGGAGAGCATGGTGGTGGTTATGGTGGAGGTGAAGGGGGTGGAGCTGGGGGAGGTTATGGGACTGGTGGGGAACATGGCATTGGCTATGGAGGTGGTGGTGGAAGTGGCGGTGGCGGTGGAGCTGGGTATGGTGCAGGAGGAGCTCATGGAGGTGGATATGGCAGTGGGGGAGGAGCAGGTGCAGGAGGAGAGCATGGTGGTGGTTACGGTGGTGGTCAAGGAGGTGGAGCTGGGGGAGGCTATGGTGCTGGTGGAGAGCATGGTGGTGGTTATGGAGGTGGTGAAGGAGGTGGAGCAGGAGGAGGCTATGGTGCTGGTGGAGAGCATGGCGGTGGTTATGGAGGTGGAGCTGGTGGAGGCTATGGTGCTGGTGGAGAACATGGCATTGGGTATGGAGGAGGTGGCGGAAGTGGAGGTGGGGGTGGAGCAGGCTATGGTGAGGGAGGAGCACACGGAGGTGGATATGGAAGTGGTGGGGGTGCTGGTGGAGGAGGTGGGTACGGGGCAGGCGGTGCACATGGTGGTTATGTTCCTTGAGAACTAGTCTAGCTCACACGACATATATTGAAGTGTCCCCTTTGATGTAACACGAATAAGTATGGTATTAATAACAGAATCATAATCACAATTATCAAGCACGAGATTATCAACGCCAGATTTATATATATGTAACAAAATATTTCTATAAATGATATTATGATAATTGCAATATGGTGAAACTATTATCAACTTAATTTGGGCTTGCCCTTCTTATTATATATATTGGCATGAAAGAAATATGTTTATTATAGAACATAAGATGCAAATACTTGTTTCAGATTATTTCTGAGAAGTTTAGGTTCCAAGTCCAACAGCCTTGCCCGGTACTTGTCGGTGTGTCACCCTCTCCTGTCTGTATCAGTGCATGTCGTGTAGTAGTTGAATAACTGCTTTCTTAAAAACTCCTAATGGACAACCAACTCAGACATTCTCTACGGAGATCTCTTTAATTAAATGATTCCTCAGAAGCTGTCAATTGAGGCGTAGGTGCTGAAGACATTGACAATTCTCTAGAAATGCTTTTGATCATGTCAACCCTTCCATCATTATTCTTCATCATGAGAATGTTGCATGGAATTTTTCGATCTGTTATGTATAATAGCATTTATTTCCTTCCATTACAATCCGCCTCGGGAAACATGAAATAACTAACGTTTAAATTCAATCTAGAACAAGCAGCAAATTATCAAGATCATAAATATGATCCGGTAACCAAATTAATATCATTGGATTAGCTAGAATTAATTATAATGATTATAAACCTGTCAAAGACCACCCATGACCCATGCAGGACAAAGGGTGACAATTTGCTCCGCAACCAGCAGTCTTAATAGGATAACCCATAACAATTTTGCATTGCAGTAATGATTGATTGCATATTGACGATTAGTGCATAACGCACAGATGGCAATCGTAAATTCAGCAAAATAACAAAAGAGAAATGTGATTGTAAAGTATTAGCCTTAAAAATGATTTTCTTACACCATATTTTCTGCAAAGATCTATGACCGCTTGACGCTTTAGAGTTTAGACAGTTGACATCATTTTCGCACTCTTTTTTCTCTTTCAATGGAGGTGCATCTTCCGGTTCCACCGTCCAAAAATCATTTCTTGTCTTCAAAATGACTACACAAACATTACATGGTTACACTTTCATAAACGAAAAGACTTTTTCTTTTACAAGCAGATCTTATAAAGTTTAGTTTGTGGTTTTTTCTTTCTTTTTTTAATATTTAGGAAAGGAAAGTGTTACGCACACCTATTTTAAAATAAAATAGGAGATTTGAGTTCAATTGAGAGAACTCTGCCTCAAGCACACAAACAAGCATACACAGAATATTTTTTTCTGTGATGATTTTTATTCAAATATTTCAATGTTTAAATAGATGATACAAGGCAATCATAAAAACAACTATCCACTAAATCAAATACGCTCTACTAATATCTATTACCTATCCTTTAGCAAAGTAGAAATTCAAATAACAAAACAAGAAAAATAACTAGCCATCACTTAAACAATCCAACAATACAGAAAATATTAAAACAATAAAAATAATCGTAACATTTTCTCCCCCTGAAAATTACTCTTGTCCATTAAAATCAAGTGATTGAATCATCTTCAATATCTATATTCGTCTCTCCATTGCTATTAATTGGAAAATATCCTCTAGCTACCACCCTTTCTTTCCTCTTCTCAAATTTTAGAAGTGAAGCTCTCATTGGATATTTCATACCTAAACCAAAAATTTGGAGTCTTGTTCGAGGGGCGTTGTTTAATTGAGATACTTCGATTGTGTTCAAATTTTTAATAACAATGGTAGTGTTAAGAGGAGTTGCTCTATTGGTGGAAAGAAAAAGAGAAAAATGTTTGAGTGTAGAAGCCTCTCGAATGAAATGAGAACAATGACAATGAATGTAAAGTTATGGTTTGGTGATTGGTACTAATACATCTAGCGGATTTGAGAGTTTGGTGGACATCTCCTTCAATTAAATGAAGAGTGCATGAATGGCATCTTCTAGTTTTTTCAATCGTTTCATTACGCTTGGTACCTGGCACAGTGCTGAAAATAATAACTATCCACTATTTAAATAACCTAACAATTCAGAAAATATTAAAACAATAAAAATAATCGTAACAGAAAGTAATGCGAGTGTTACTTCTATCCAAAAGGAATCTCCCCGAGATATTGCTAAACCAATATTGGCATTATCCCAAGAAGACTGACGACGAACCCTGCGGTGACGACATTGTCAAGTACCCAATGAAGAGGCTCCGTGTTAAACTCTGTCATCCCATCCATCACAATCACCACGTGTTTGTTTGTGTTACATGGACTTGAAAAGTCATGATCAGGAACATCATTCGTAGGTGATTCCCTGTCTCTTGCAAGAAGCCTCAGCATTGTCTGATCAGAAGACAAACATCACTAGCTTAGTTTGAAGTAATTTTAAAGACAATGCAAGTTACCCTTTAAAGAACGAACCGGGGAAGGGATTTGTTGCAGGCATGTTAATTCCTTATATAGACATTGCTACTGCTAAGAGAGCAATCAAGACAAGCGCTAGACACGATCAAGGGCTGCTTAGTAATTGACGTCTTGAAAGTTACTTTATTTAAATAAAGAGTTTTATAATTCTCATTCAACATGAGAATTCAAATTTTCCTACACACCCTTCAATTTCCGTGCTGACATGGGTCCTACATATAATTTTTTCTAACACATGGGACTCACATGCTTTTTATCTCTACAACATGAGAATTGAATTCTCATTCAACATAAAAAAATCAAACCCCTTAAATAAATGCTTAATAATTGCGATCCTAGGGCATGAACAAGGCTCGAGCTAGGGGTGTAAATGGGCTGGGCTGGGCTTTGGCCATTCTGGCCCAAGCCTACGTAAAAAAAAAGTCAGCATATCTGGCCTATTGGCCTATTAAAGGCTTTATTTGTAGACCAAGTCCGGCCCATTTTCAAAAAATAAGAAAGCCTGACATGGCCTACAGGCCTTGTAGGCCTCCCACTATATATACTAAACAAAAAAAATAAATGTATAGAGCAAAGAAAGTTCCATTCATGCATACACTAGTACTTCTCATAAGAAAAAAAATGACAAACAAGAAAGAGTCAACATAATACCTCAGCTCTAGAATGTATATCATAGAGGAATAGAGTCGAAGAAATGGGAAAAATAAGAAAAATACAATTACTGGATGCTGAAATAAAGTCTACAAGAGAATGTCATTCATCTAAAAATCTTTAAACCACCATCAAGACAAGGGAAAGAAGATTATTATTGAAAGATCTTCATCAGTAACATCATAATACAGCAAGGTACCCATTGTTCCATCGTATTAAGCTGCAACAGCATGTAAAATTTGGAGACATTATACAAGTTTGTCTTTCACAAAATAAAATAGCACAAAAAGTAAGAGATTTTGGTATTTGGTACTTTGTGTCTTTGTCACATAAAATAATAATAATATATATTTTATTTTAATAAATTAAATAGGCCAGCCTACAAGGCTGTAGGCCGGGCTTGACAAGATTGGCCTATGGCCTATTTATTAAAAAAGCTTTTTTATAAGCCTAAGTCTACTCTACTTTCCTGAAAGGCTGGGCCTGAGCTGGGCTCAATGTAGGCCTGAGCCTAGCTCGAGCTTGACAAATACCCTAAGGACAAGTTTACAATATTAAGTATTAACTACAAACTCGCATGTAAACACTTAAATTTCAGCCTCGTAATCAAATAATGGCTTTCTGATATAACCAATGTTAGTAACTTCGGGATACCCCTTCAAATAATTTTATTGTCATAACCAACGTTATCATATACATCCTTGTCCACATTCATTGGAGATATGTTCTTCGCATGAAGTAGGGGAACAAAGAACCAGTACATTCGCGAATCTCTAGCTCCGGGTATTTAACTATACAATTTGGCAAGAGGTATAGACAAATTTTAGCAACAAAAAAAATACAAGGTTTTTCGCTAAAAAGAATAAGTACATTCCCAAATGCCTGAAGCCAAAGACTATTCACTGTGGAATTCCAGCCGTCACCCGACGGTTTTTGGGTGCAATAAGAGGGTTGCCTTTATTAAACAGGGATGCATCCATCCTTTTTCTCTTCTTATCCGAGGAAGCATCAACTAAACTCAAAAATGCATCTCTCTTTCGACCAGGCATCTTCCTAACATATCTCACGGCTGCTTGTCTCTCAGAATCCGCCGTAAATTTATTTGATGGTTTTTTACAGCTCCCATGATTCTCCATCTTCAAATGATCACGCGAGATGAGGAAACTTCTATCTGACAAATCCAACTAGAGGTCATTAAACAAAGTCATTCAAAGAAATACATGAAAACGGACATTTAGAAGTGTACTCAATTACCAGAAGCATCGGGAGAAGGGGGACCGGGAGGAGTTAAAGCATGGAAACCATCATTCTCTCTAAAATCAACAACTTCCTGACAGCAATCATTTTTATTGAGATCAACACTCTCAATATAAGAATTTCCATCAAATACGGTACTACCATTCAAGATGGCATTATTCCCAAGTAGCACTTGGGCATGGATATCTTTAGAGCCGTCAAAATCAACACTTTCCTGATTTGACCCAGAGGGAAATTGTACAAAGCCATGAGAAGCACCACTTGAGTCATTGAATTCAGGAAGCTCATGTCTTTCTTGACAAGAATAATCAAACCCTTGGTTGGAAAATTCTTTGGATTCACGAGTCTCACCCCTTACGCTATTTGGAATTAAAATTGGATTTGATTTATACATGCTGTCGTCAATGTCTAAAACTGACTTAGGAGATGTATTCAAAATACTTGAACCCACGCATGGTGTTTGAGATTCCATAATGCTTGAAAACCAAGGTGTACCCTGTCGTGCATAAAACAATATGTAGGCTTCTTGAGAAAGCACAAAGTCTACTGAGACCTTAGTAACCTGAAGAATAATTTCAAGACATCAATTCATGTTTAACTTCAAAAACAATGACCACTATCTAGCGCAATAGTCAAGTAAGCACACACACACACACAAAAAAACTTAGAAACAAAATGATTACAAATAGAGTTTGATGTTTCTCATGCAAATAGGGAATAGGGTTTAAGTACGAGATGCTACCATTGCATCATCCAACTTATGCCATATGTCCGGAGCCGAGCGAACAAAGCAAAAGTAATGCCCTGAAGTAGATGAAATTCCAACATGCACAACAACTGCATAAAGTTCATATTTCAATGGTACCTATCAACATAATAATGAGTCAGAACATCATATTTGCAAGGAAAACAAGAATAACATACAGAGATCTAGTAAAATGTAAGTGGGAATGTAAAATCAACAACTTACACTATTGTTTTGATTAAAAGTGGTGTAAGACATCAGGTCCAACTCCAGCGGGAAATCAACATGCTTATCAATCTTTTCAACATAAGTCCCATCTGTCTTAAATCTCTTTAAATGAAATGATGCAACTAAAGGCGTCTGATCCAATATAAGACGCTTCTCCATAGATACTTCTTCCTTGCAGCTATCACATCGAAACTTTGCATCAATGTTTTCCATCTTAGTAAAAGATTCCAGAGCATTAGGAAGGGTATCTACATTATCTATCTCTAAACTCAGGTCAATCAGTGGCTCATAAGTGTCAGAACAGCAACCACAGTTGCAACATCGAAGCTGAAAAACAAATAGCATGAAAAGATAACCATTAGCAAACACAGCATTCTAAATCATAAAGGAGCCAAAAGACAGCTTTTTTACAATTATCTCCAACATACTTTGCTGATTAGACGACCTCCAAATACTTTCTCAACAAGATTATCATCTTCAAAACTAATATTACTTTTCTTCAAATCAAGAAAACATCTTTCCAATTTATCTAAGGCACACTGCAAAAATTCATGTGCATCTTCCTGCTGGTATCTTCTAAATACAGAGGAAAAATCTATTACGGGGTCATGGATCACAATAGTTAAAGTAAAAAAGCAAATAACTATGCATTAATTGAAATTCCATTTTGCAAGCCAATGATGATATACAATCACTAATATTTACAATCCTTAACTCTTCGAATCAAATGATTAGCCACATGTCAATGGTGACATGAAAGGTAGTTTCACAATAATCATGACAGTGATAAAAAAAAAAAGGATACGGTTCAAATTGTCCACAAACTTCAAGGGTGAGAGATAGCCTCCTGAAGCTACTAGGGAAGATTGAATATGTTCACGAAGAGCACAAACAACACATAATCCATCAATATGACCTGAAATTTCCAATTCCAATATGTCAAAATCTCAGAAAATAAATGAAAACAAACAATATAATTATCCAGAAGTAAGGCTGTTTAGGTCTAACCACCTCTCAACCCCACAATAAGGCAAGACTATTGCACTAAAGCACACTATTTTACGCAACAAGCTAAATCTAAACACATAAAACAATAATTTTGTCAAATTCAAATGAGGGTAACACACCAGCACAAGGGGTTGAATGATTGCATGAACGAAGACCCAGGACTAGAGGCACCGTGTGCGTAAGGCATTGCAAGATGGCATTAAGAAAGCAAGTGTTGCCAAGATTTGAAAGCCCAGCTCCCTGTTAAACAAATCAATTATCAAAACAAACAAAATCCCTGAGACAAACAACAACAACAACAACAACAACAAAAAAGCACGTACCACCCCAGAAGGTACAACCGTGGAGGCAGAAATTTCATTATTCGAATGTGCCCCGTTATCATCAGAAAACAGCCAGTTATCATCGGAAGCACGCTCCGAATCCCACACATCCGGAGCCACAGCGGAAACCCGAGACGAGTGCCAAGAACGACTCTCGTTGGAAGGCAACACCGACGGCCATGGCGAAAGAGAATTGCCCTTGAGTCGCCGGAAGGGGGAAGAATTGCCAGGGTCCTCCTGTTGAGCTTCCGCATCGAAAATCCCGGCATACATGCCACCGCCGGCGGTTTCCACCGGCGGAGGAGAGTAAGAGCGATTTAGATTAGGGAACGAAGGGACCGATTGAGAGGCATTTAGGGTTTCAGAAAGCGGGTTTGGTCCAAAAGGAGCGTCCATTAGGACCTCTCTGTCTTCGGAGGGTGCAAAGAGTGATGAGCACATGGAATTTGAAAACGGCAAGTTAAATTAGGATTTCAAAACAAAGATGAGAGACGGCTAGGGTTTTTTGAGATTAAAATTTAGGGAGAAAATTTATGTTCGAAAGGCTTTAAATAAACGAGAGAAAAAATTAGAGAGGTGAATTTGGGGGTTAGGGTTTTGAGATGGATGAGAAGAGGAGGGAAGATTGAAAATGTGTTCAAACCTCTTAGAGAGACAAAATGAGAGGGAAATGGGTTTGGGAACCAACAAAATTTTCAGGAAAGTGACATCGCGCGCGCTCTCTCTCTCTCTCAACTCCCACTGACACTGTTACTGTTTTCTTCACCACTTTCGAGATAGCAATATCATTTATACTGATAAATTCTCTTAAAATTAGGCGTGATTTTGGTTGTGAAAAAATGATAACGTAATCAAAGTATTTAATTATAATTATTCATTAATAATGAAATAAATGAGAAATAAATATATATTTTTAAAAAAAGAAAAAAAATTACTCTTATGCAATATAAGAGTAGTTTATCTTCAATAGACTTATCAAAAATTGTGACATATTTTTTTTTTGTAAATTGTAAGTCTCACTATACATATATCTATAACAGGAGAAAAGATCTCTCGTGTAACATGAAATTAGATTAACTCTGTAAAAAATGAGTAGTTCACGATAATCCAAATCCAATAGAAATAGTCATACAATCATCAATCACCCGCTATTATCAACCCACCATTTAGGCATTTATTTAATAGCTAATTAATATAATTTATTTTAAAATCGGGCAATTGTTATCCGTGATTTGGTGGTATTTGATATGCATTTAATTATAAGGATTGAAGGATTTTAATGTTTTTCCTTTTGAATATTTACAGTAGTTTAGTAAATAACTTGTGACGAACTTTTTAAAAAAAATTAATTTTTTATTTACTTTTAAAATAAATAATACAGCATTTTATTGGAATATTAGCTTACCTTATTAGAAGATGCTTTTTATTTTAATTCTTTATTCGAGTCTCAATATTACTTAATTAAAATAATTAAAAATGATTACAAAATGTGAAAAAATACCTTAGGGAGTGAGGTAGATGTACATCAAAGGGTTAGGTAGTTGACTTTTTCAAATATAAATATTAAATAAGAATTAATAAGTATTCAATGCATTGAGAATCCACCAATAAAAGAAAAGAATCTCCCCGCTTATTTTTTTTACTTATTTAGAATAGGGGTGTTCGCGGTATGGATTGGATCGATTTTGAAAGCAAAACTCATCCGATCCAATCCCTTCGGTTTGATCATGTAATCATTCATTCGGTTTAGATTTTTTTTCAAATCCGATCCGATCCAATCCAATTTTTTTCGGTTTGGATTGGATCAGTTTTCGATTTTTTGAATATCCTAAAATTAGTTTCATGATTATTGTGCAAATAACATCTTTTGTATATATTGGCTTTGTAAAAAAATAAAATTGAAATACAAAAATATCAGTAAACAATACTATAGTTGATGAGACGTGACTAAGTTTTTTTTTTTGGTTTAGTTGATGAGTTAATGGGTCTTGAGTTTAGAAATTTTTGGGCTATGATTGGATAAAGGACAAGTAGGTAGAGGATAATTAATATATTAGATCGGTTTGGATTGGATCGGTTTTCATCAACCCATCCGAAAACCGATCCAATCCAATCATAATTTGCGGTTTGCTTTCGGTTTTCGATTTTTCGGTTTTTGGTTTATTCGGTTATCGATTTTTCGGTTCGGTTTTCGCGGTTTGAATCGGTTTGGATCGGTTGATGAACACCCCTAATTTAGAAGAAAAAGAAACATGTTTTTTCCCCCTAAGTATTAAAACCTTCCCTTTTTTTTTTTTGAATACTAAAACCTCCCCCTTTTTCATTTAATAACTATTACTTTTTTTATATACATATACCTATTACTTTAAATAATTAGCAAAAAGTAAGAATATTTGTGATCAGACCAATACAATATAGGCTGGTCAGAGTGTAAAGGACCTAATCACACACGGTTGAGATGAGAAAACTTTGTGTTGGGCTGTCTATTTCCTGGGCTTGAAATAGTTGTAGATGATGGGTGATGTATGATTCACCTTTGGCGCGATGATCCTGACTGGAGTACAACGGCGCGGTGGATCATTGTTAGTTTCCATGATTGCTTCCTTATCTCTAAAGTTATGCTGAAGGGCGGTTTGGGCGCGATGGTAACATCGCCCCCTATAATGCGCGATTGATGCCATCACGCCTCATTATGGGCCTGGTGGGTTTGGGTCTTGGTCTATGAACTTTGGTCTTTGATGGGCCTATCATATTTTATCCAGATCAATTTGTTTTTAGGAACTTTTCAATAAATATTAATTACTTTGTAGTAATTGGAAAGTTTTATTAAAAAAATACATTAGAATTCTTTTTTGAGTTTTTCGTATTATTGGCATATATTTATCAAACATTACGATAGAGTTCGAGGGAACATAGGGTTATCCCTCTTTATTTTTCAAAATCAACTATTAATATTACTCATATAATATTTAAATGATCATGCTCGCAGTGGCGGAGCCAGGTATATCCTGGGTGTGGCCTCGGCCTGGGTTAAATTTTAATAAATTATACCTATTATATATAATTATATAATTAATTATAATTTGGCCCGGGTTAAAATTATAATTTGACCCGGGCTACAATTTGTATTTTGGCCATATGTAAAACTTAAAATATTTTCCGTAATAGATTTGGGTAAGTTATATTAGGTTATGTGTTCAATATTAACTTGTATAAAAAAATATTTAATAAAATTATAATTCTTCTTGGTACTGCCTGCTCAAGTGCTCTATATTTAATATAATTTAAATAGTGAGGGTTATATTTAAACTTTTTATTTATAAACTCTTACAAAATACACTATGTATTCCCGGAAGTACACTAGGTAACACTATATACTTTCAAGAGTATGTAGTATAATTTGCAAAAAAAATTTATAAATGGATCCTTCCCCAATTTAAATATATTATAATATGAACTAACTAAAGTTAAGAAAAATAAATACTCGTAATTTTTTTGGCCCGGGATCAAATTTAAGCCTGGCTCCACCACTGCATGCTCGACGTCTATGTTGCATTGACGTTGACACGGGACACAGGATACGACACGACACGACACTCCGACACGTTAATTCTAAAAAATGTTAAATTTCAACACATTAGGACACGTTTTGATATTATATAACATTTTTAATTTATGTAGTACATATTATATTTAAGATTAAAGACCCAAATTGGTCCCTGACAAAAAACCCGGTGGCCAAATTAATCCCTAAGAAAAATAAACTCGTAAAATAGTCTCCAACAATGTGAAACAGGACCCACGTTAGTCCTTCTGTCAAACCAAAATTGACGGTGTGAGTGACGGTGCTGAGGTGTCACGTTAAGTGACATGCTGAAGCCCACGTGGACATCTTGGACGACGTCGTTTGTTGAAGCTCAGCCACCTTGGATACACAGTTCTCTTTCATCCAAGAAACGTCGTCGTTTGTTTGTTAAGGTTCAACTTAAACCAGAAAGCATGGCATCGAATCGAAGGTTGAACGCATGAATTTGGGGAAAATTGATTGACGGTATAGGGAAGGTGGGTGTATACTGTTCGATTTAGGGTTGATCTTTGTGTTTATGCCATGATTATGTCTTCTGGAAGGGGGAGCTCAGGTAGTTCGTTTGGGTCCAAAAGTGGAAGAAGGAGAGTTGTTCCATTGTGTAAATGTGGGAGGCACAGTGTTGTTTACACCTCCAAGACACCTAGAAACCCTAATAGATCATTTTTTGGGTGATCCAACTTCAAGGTGAGGTTAATTTTTTCATGCGTTATTTTTGGTATTTCAATCTTATGAACTGTATATTTGAATTTTGTTTAGGAAAAGAAGCTGTACTGTAACTTTTTTACATGGGTGGATGATGCTACATCTGATACCATGGAGCTGGAAGATTGGACAATTAACAAGTTGGAGTTGAATGTAGCTGAAATGGAGTTCAAGTTGAACTTTTTGGACATGAAGCTCAATGATGAACTGCAACTGGAGGTGAATAACCATAAAAAGAAGATTAATGAGCACTGTATAAAGATTGAAGACATAGCAATGGAGATGCAGGCAGACTTTGAAAGGGTTGAGAAGGAAATGATGCATGTGTGTAGGTGTGCTAGGGCGTTTGCTGGATCCATTATCATTGTCTTTGTAATATGTTTATATCTTTGTAGTAGGGTGGAGTGAAATGTTCATTTTTAATCTGTAATATGTATGCTTCTCTGTAATGGAAAGACCATTGTTGGGATGTAATGAGATGTTGATTGTTCTTAAAATGGTTAATGTCCTTGAACTTGATCGTTCTTAAAGCACAACCTGCTAAGTATTAAGTTATTTGGAAATGCCAATTAAAATGGTCAAAAGACTGTATGAGCAGTAACAACAAGGATTGAGGGAATTATACAGAAGGGGGAATGAGCTTCTGTGGTAACAGCTTTTTACGGCATTCTTTCTGTCATGTTTTGCACGGACTAATTTGGGCCCCGATGAATTTGTTAGGGACCTATTTGACCTAGTGTAAAATATTACAGGGACTAAAATGGTCCTCGAGCAAAATTATTGGGGACTTATAAGGTATAAAAGGGACCAATTTGCCAAGCAATTTGGTAATGACCCCAAAATTCAGGTATGTTTACACATTACCCCAAAATGACACAACATACAAAATATAAGCACGACAAGCAATTTGCCAAAGAGATGGTAATGACAGAAACAAAAAATAGTATTGTTTGACAGTATTGAATACAATCATGACAGTGAGTACAGATAGCAACCAAACTGACATAATCTTCCATTCATTTCACATTAATGACAACAATGAAAAATAGTAATGACATAAGAGATTTAGTAATCCAAAAAACACATTCCATTGATATCATGACTATGTACTTACAATTGGCACTGACATATTAAACCATTAAGTAGGAACACTATGTCTTCCCGAAAAACAAAGTGTTCATACTTAATATGGCCATAACCAGAGGCATACAAAAAAAGTCATTGGTGAATAATTTAAACAGGGCCAAAACCAAAGTAAACCAAAAAACTGGCCTAATTACAATTCCAAGCTATTGGCCTAATAACAAAAAAAAATGCCAATTGAGACATTCGAACTGGCCTAATGTCAGTGATTACAATTCCAAATTAGTTATGTGGGGCTGGCCTAGGTGGCCTAAATCCTGGTGTAGTCATGAAGCTTGCTCTGGTGCCACTGCTAGTTGCAGCTGCTGTCTCACTGGTCACTGCCTCAGTAGGATTGCATGGTGGTGGGCTGCTGGCTCTTGGTTCAGCTGCATTTGGTGCATGCTGACTGCTTGTCTCTGGTGGAGGGCAGCCCTGACTCATGCTCATGAGGATCTCTTCAATTGTCCTTGACTGGCCAACTTCAACATTAACCGATTTAGTTTTTTTCTTTGATCCACCAGCAGGTCCTTTGCATGTCTTGTGGTAATGACCAGTCTGACCACACTTGGAGCATTGAACTGTGTAAGTCTTCTTAAGCTTCTTGTTGGTCTTCATAAGCTCTTCAGTGGGATCCTTCTTGCGATATTTTTTTGGACGTCCAATAGGCCTTTTCAAGCGTGGAGGAAGTGGTTTTGGGGCATCACAAGCTGGCCAATATTGTTGGGAATTGACTGGGTTGAGAGTGTGTTCATAAGTGGCATGCAAAGCATCCACTGTCAGCCATTGGTGAACATGATTTTCCACAGGTTCATTCTTGTGTGCAATGGCAGCAATGACATGTTCATAAGGCAATCCAGTTAGCTGCCACACATTACAACTACAAGTTTGTTGAGTTAAATTCACCCCAACACGTTGAACCTTTCCAGATACTTCGTAGAGATCTTGGACCAAGTTTCCAGTCCATGTTGGTGTCCAAGAATTGCTTGCAACCTTCAACTGGTCCAGCCTCTTCTGCTGTGCAGGTGCTATCTTACCCCTAAAGGTTTGTAGAATCCTCTTGTGTGCTGCCATCCTTCGCATTATGTAGCACCTCAATTCCTCACACAATGTCATTATAGGTTTGTCCCTATAATTCAAAATCTTTGCATTCCACACCTCAGCCATATTATTCGTGATATTGTCACATTTAGGCCAGTGACAGTAATAGGCCTTAACCCAACATGAAGGGTGTATATTGTCAAGATACTTCCAAGCTAGTTCGTTTAGAGTCTTCAGCCTTTGCATGACCTTCTCAAATTGGGGAACAGTGGTGCATCTAGCACATTCCCATACAATTCCTCTTGTCTCTTTATCCTTCCACTGCTTGATGAAGTTCTTCCATACATGTTGTACACAGAACATGTGGTGTGAACCTGGCATAATTTCCTTCAAGGCTGGGACAAGTCCCTGTATGTGAATGAGAATAAAAATTAAAATACAATCTCGAATCAGCATGAATAATATCAGCATGTATAAGGGGAATTTACAGTGCTGGATTTTTAAGTGACCATATTAAAAGAACTGTTGCAGGGACCGATTTGTACCCCCGATAAAATTGTTAGGGACCAAAATGGTCCCTTCTGTTAAAGAACAATGACTAAAATGGTCCTCGGTAATATTTGTGGGAGACTAGTTAAGGTTATTAAACATCATTAGACAAGGCAAACAGAACACACATACCACATGATTTCATAAACCAGATACTGCATGACATTGGCAGCAACAGAGATGAAAATATTGTAAACAATCCACAATATTCAATAAGATCAATGACAACAATGGCAACAACAGAAATTTGATTGCAAATATTCATTAACAGCAAGGCAATGGCAACAACACATAACACAAATACCAGAACACACATACGAAGGACAGCAAACAGAATAATGCATGATCATTAATGACAGCAACCAGGACAAACAGAATAAACTTGGCAATCCAAAATATTCATTAACATCACCAAACAGAATTACTAAGGACAACTTCATCAACAACAGGACTATGGCAAAATATTCATTAACAATCAAAATACAATTAAGTATGGCAATTCTATGTGAAATAAGTAATTGGAAGCACAACCAGAAAAACCTTACCTTCTGTTGATCCGAAATGAAGTTCCAACCAAATACTGCATGGTCCCCTAAATCTTCCTGTAATAATGTCAGAAACCACTTCCAATTATCCTTCGTCTCACTATCAACCACGACATATGCAATCACATAGAATTGTTTGTTTGCATCTTCACCCACAACACTCAATAATTGACCTCCATAATAGCCCTTCAAAAAGCATCCATCCAACCCAATTAAGGGCCTGCATCCAGCTTTGAATCCCTTCTTACAAGCATCAAGGCAGATGTACATTCTGTCAAATATTGGCAATGATTGTGGAATAGGTTGAGGGGTGACTTGCAATTTGCAACTGAAGCCAGGGTTGCTCCTCAACAGTTCTGCCAAATATTCCCTTAATCTTCCATATTGCTCCTTCTCACAACCTTCAATGGTCCCCTTTGCTTTTTTCAAAGCCTTAGTTACTTTCTTCATATCCAAATGCACATTGTATTCCTCCTTCATGTGCTCAAATGCCTCTGTCCTTGTCATCTTGGGCTGTGTTAGTATTCTCTTCTCCAATTTCTTGGCCACCCAATCTCTTGTAGCCCTTTTATTCTTGAAGACTCTACAGCATGTATGAGTCTCTTTAAAAGTCTTAACTTGGAATGTGCTTTGCTTACTGTTCCAGGCACAATACACCATCCATTCACAGTCTTCTACACTGCATTTGGCCCTTACTCTCACCTTGTCATTCTTAACCCATACGAAGTTCCTCCCAAGACTGATATTGTAATCTTTTACTACACACTTAAATTGGCCCAGATTCATAAACTCCATACCAAGTTCTAAATAAACATGCCCAAAAGAAGCTTGCTCATTGAACTTTGGCATAACAGGTCTAACATTCTCATCATATCACTTGAATGAGGAGTCCTCAACTCCTCGGACAGATAGGTATATCCTTCTTCCTCAAATGACATCATGGCTTCCTCTTCATCAACTTCTTCAGATTTAGAGTCTTGTATTGGGGCATCCTTCTTGACTTCCTTTCTCCTTGGGGTCTGTTTTGCAGACATTTCTTTCTCTACAATTGGCACTGACATACCATCATCATCATCTTCTGAATCATCCTCAACACCAGGTGGAGGAGGCTTGTAAACCTCATCCTCTGCACTCTCATATGAATCTGAGTGTGAGGTAGCATGGTCATCATCTGCATTATCTTCTTCAGACCCATAACCAGCATCCTCTGCACTGTCTTCATCATGGTCCGAATTGATCCCATCATCACCTTCTGCATTCAGGTCATCAGCAGCCTGTGCATGGTCTTCATCCAAATTCATCCCATCATCACCTTGTGCAATAAGGTCATCACCAGCCTGTGCATGGTCTTCGTTTTCTTTGACCCCAACATCACCTTGTGCACAACCTTCACGTGAACTGACCCCATCATCAACCTCTTCATGGTCCTCATTATGTGCTGAATTAATGATATTATCCTCTTCACTGTCATGTGTAGGTGAAACAAACTGGGGAATTGAGATGCAACCCTCAAAGTAGACATGTATCTCATTGCCATTCCCTAAAGCAGCCTCACACATAGCACACACATCTGAATCTGTACTAAGAGGTCTCAACCCCAGATCCAAATCGGGTACCCCAGGTTGTAGCCACATCATCCTCTTGCATTTTCTTTACCCATATTGCTTAAACAGGGTGTCAAGGTCACGAATATTGCAGTAGTCAATGTCCATTTCCGGCAATGAGTCCACCCTTCCATATATATAGGTCATCACTCCATCTTCATCTCTGACAAACATACCACCGTGATGATAAACAATAACTATGTATTCGGACATCTGTCAAAACCAAAAAACCAATCCTATCATTAAACCATGAAGCCACAGACTTTGAAAGTGTTAAACAATACAAAGCAATAAAAAGAAACCTTTTTTTATGGATGCAGACATGTATTCCAACGGGGTTTTTAAATGTTTTTAAATGGGTCAACCATGGCAGGGACCACACCACCCGGTTGTTACTTTCTTTTAAAACAAAACCCTAAATGGAAACATGGACCACAATGTTCCACTTCGTGCATAAAAACGCAAGCATTAAACAAAAGGGAAACAACATGGGGACCACAAGCATTAAACAAAAGATGACAAACAACAATATAAAAATGTTTCAACATATAAATACTCATACCTTTTTGAACGGTATGCTCAGCCTCACAAAGTCTCCCAAGTTGTCTTTGTCTTCCACTGGTTCCCTTCGATTCTGGAAGAAGTTTGCAATATTCCAAACCAGGGTTTACTCCACGGGTTCTCAACAATGAAGTGTCAGGG